GCGGCCGAGCGGGGTTGCCTGGCAACCTGCGTCCGAGCGCGCGGAACGCTGCGCCTCCCCGGGGACAGTCCGGAGTCCGCGCTGTGGAAGAGGAGGAATACTTGCCGGAGCTGATGGCGGAGAAAGAGCCTGGACCCATGGTTTGAGCACCGTCGCACCTTTTGGCCCAAGGTAGGACTGGCCCCCTGCGCTGGGCGCAGAGCGCTGGCCCCCTCTTACCGCGGCGGGGTCGGGGAGCGAAGGTGGGGAGGCCGCCTGTCTCCTTCGCGGGAACTGTCCCTGAAGGTGCTCCAGAGCTGCGGACAGAGCCCGGGTTCGGGCGGGCAGATGCTACCTCCCCGCCCTCCACGTCTGAAGCTGGGGAGACGAAAGCTGGGAGGTGTAAGGGCAGTGGAGATGTGCCGTTAGGGTCACTGACGGAGGAACGAGTAACAGGGCTATTTTCACTCCGCAGAGGGAAGGGAGATCAGTTTGGAGTGATTAGTGTAGTGTTTTAAGAGCTGCTTAGCTACGAATCAGCATTTCTTTTCCTTTTCCTTTTTATTTTTGTCTTAGCTTTTTTCCTTCCTTCCTAGTGATTTTGCTATCCTTTCGTCTAATTACAGTCTTTCCTATGGATGGTCTTGGGATAAACCTAGATTAAATGATGCAAGTTCAACCGTGTTTGTGAATGTGGAAGAGGCCAAAGTGCTTATCAGTTTATTTGAAGTGTGGTGATTGGGGGCCCTGGGAGGTCTGGTCCCTGGCGTCGCTCCACAGTTGATCAGCAGTTTTACCAAGTGTGCATTTTCTTTCGTGTACTTGTATTGTTAAAAGAGATTTCGTTCTCAGAGGAACATAAATGTCTTTTGCTGTCTTTTGAAAAGGTGGTTTAAACACACACACACACACACACACACACACTTCTATATGACATAAGTATTAACCAAATTACTCCATTATCTTGAAATAGTGCTGTCTAACTGCTCAAAGGTGCTCACGATATCTGTAGCAACATACATAACACCTTTTTAAAACAATTCCAGATTTTTTTTGATTAATGCTTCATCAGTAATGAATTGCTTCATTATCAAATTGGCTACAGTGCAGTTTTGTAGGTTAGGTTGTTGTAAACTTACCTATAGGAAAACTAAAGTAACAACTTTCTCTTCCTCAGCCCATCAGCATTAAAAGAAATGCTTTTCTGAGATTTAGTCGAATTGGAAGGAAGAATCCTAATCCTCCATGTATGATTCAAATAGGCATTAGGCTTATTGAAATGCTTTACTGATGGATTATTATTTACAACAAAAAAGTGTCAGGGTTTTTTCTATTCTGTACACCAGGCAACGAAGAAAATCTTTATCATCAAACTATTGAACACGTGAAACAATGAAACTTTCTCAAGGAACAAGGTGGTTTTGTAGAGGATATGGAAAGGAAAATACAATCATGCTTACTACTTTCTTGGTTACTGAATGAAAAAAATAGAAATTAAACTTGAAAATGAAAGCCAATTAAAAAATTAAACTCACCTTATCTATTAAAAATAAAGATAATTACATAAAATACTAAGAATTTTGAAAATTAGTGGATTCATCAATGATTAAGAATGTTCAAAGAGATTAAAAATGCAGTTAAGTCTTTTTAAATCGTTTACTTCAATGTATTTTCCCAGAAGTGTCTTAATCTAACTGATCATATCTTTAAAATGGAAAAAAAGAAGTTACAAGTTGATCATTTTCTCAGATGGGCTAATTAGACTTCTTTCTTGGGACAGCAGGCTCGATGATTAATTCATCAGTCACTTAATGAGAGTTAGTGGGCTTACTATTGAAAAATGCCAAACTAAAGTGCATGTGAGGAAGTCTAAATCACGTGTACAGGTATTTCTGCAGCTGATAAAACTGTCAGAGAAGGCTGTGCACCTGCTTCCTTAACATTTTATTTTTCTCAGGAACTTGATTTTTTTCCTCCTTAGGAACATGTTCCCAGGGACCTTGTAATTTGGTTTTTTCCCAGCAGGGGGAAGCATATTCTGCTTTCCTGAAGAATTAGGAAGAAAAAGCTCCTAAGTAGAAAACTATATCTAAGTAAGAAACAAAGAGAGGGTCCAAATTTCAGAGAAATCATAGTGAGGAAAAGAGAATGGAAATGATGATAATAACCTTGATTATATAAAGAGAGAGGCAGAGAGATCCTATAAGTTTTAAATTAATCCTCTCATTGTACCTGAGACTCTGTGCGTGCTTATTTAAGAGTAGAAGCTGAGCGTCCTTTTGAATCTCTGATAAATCATTACATACATTTTACATTATAGATCTTTTGTTATCTTTTGAAAAGCCGCTTGCCAAGATGTGTAGGTTTTGTTTCGGATTTCTGTAAGAGAGGGCTGTTGAGATGATTTTATTTGCACACCTGGAAATGCACTGATGGAAGGTGGTGGCTGTAAATAAACCTGCTGTAGATACTCATTTGAAAAGAAGGTGCGCACTGAAGTGTATTTGAGTCGGCACTGTGCAGACGGTCTCAAGTCAGAGTGAATAATAAAATGATCGGAAGATTCTGGGCTTCATGATTTTCTGGAAGCTAATATATGTAAGGGCAATGATGTAAACCAATGAGCTTTCACAGTGATTTATTTTGCTTTTTTGATCGATGGTTGATGCAAATCAGTGCTCAGTTGTGACTACTTCACTTAGAACTGAAGGCCGCTGGCAGAGTTAAAAGTGCTAGTTTGTTGATTATTTTGTTATTTTTGTTGTAGTTTGTTTATTTCACTTGTTTCTGCTGTGTGTTTTCAGTAGGAATGATTCTGAGACAGCTAATGGAAGAGCCTGAAGATTTTATTTTGTTGCTACTTTGAAAACACTGATGTGGTTTGAAGATTATGTTTGAGTTGTTAAAATAATTTCCTTCTGTGATTATAATATTGTTTAATCATCCATTTGTATGGAAGGTGCTTTTGTGGATAAAACAGCAAATTCAGCATGAGCTTTAAAGTTGCACTCAGCCTCTGAATTTGCTTGCCAGATGAAATGAGATGAGGTTATTTATATCTATGCTACTTCTGGGAAATGCACCAAACTGTGAATCCAGATACCTGGATTTTAATTTAATTTAATTTACTCCTACTACTTATGTTATTATAATTAATGGACAATTTTATTACATGATTTTTAAAATGTACACACAACTCAATATAACAGTTCCAAAGCCTTGCATATCTTCTGTTCCAGGCTATTTCAATTCTCTATTATTTCATTCTGTCTAGAAAAATGTTAATGTATACTTATGTTAATAATTAATGGATAAATTAATTTAAAAATTATCAAGAAAAATACCCTGTCTGCAAGGAATTCATAAATTAGTTCATGTGAAAAATAGTTATTTAACATTATCTGAGAAGTAATGTAGCATGTTAACAGCTTTAATTCTGGACTCAGGCAGCCTGGGCTCAGCACTGCTGTGTTACACCGTGGTGGGCACGATCAGCTCCCCTTCCCATACCGGTTCAGATGTCAAGGACTGATGGTGCCAAAGTCACACACAGCCAAAAATGTGTAGTGTTTTTATAATTCACGTTCTCAGGTTTTCTCAGGAGAGGTGGGCAGCATCTGAACTTGTCTTAAACATCTTGAGCTAAAGGAGCTACTGGCTTTGGTTTTTACTGTGGTCAGGCTACAGGGCTAGGGTGAGAATTCCAACGTGTGGGCAAAAGTTTATGCTTACACCTGCCGCTGGTGTCAAGAGACCTATCCAGATGTGGAGCAAGAGAGGATGAGAGAGGGCTGGGGTCCGAATGCTGTCAGTGATCAAGCACAAAAATGGAGTCAGACTCTTAATTACAACAGTCTAACCCCATTACTTCCTAACTGCGAGAGCCTGGGTAAATTACTTCTCTCACTATATAATCAGCATAATGGCAAACTCTTCCTCATAGATTTGCTTCATTTACTTTATAAATGTGGATAATACAATTCCTTATCACACAGTTAAATGTGTGTTTTATGAGTATTAAATTTAAATGGGCATGTGAGCATAATGGCATATATATGTTTCCTTAGAAGCTTTCCTGGCACACAGAATGATCTCGGAACTGATTTTCTTCTTGCGCAGCCATTATGTGCTAGACCCTTTGTGCTAAGCAGAGAATGTGGCACTTAACTACCATCAAGAGCTCACATTGTCACTGGGGAGAGCTAAAAATAACCAGGATTAGTGCTATAAATGAGAGAAAGGAATAGTTTAGGTTTAGAGAAGGGAAAGCTTAATTCTAGCTATGGAGCAGTAAAAATTTGAGGTCCACTTTGGAGGCCGAGTAGCGGTCCCACAGGGAGAGGCGTACTAAAGCTCTTGCTCACAGAGAGGGTGTGTCCTAAGCAAAACGCTGCGGTGTGGGGCGTGTGAGGTCCGCAGTGGGACGGCAATCAGAGAGCAGGCTTCGTGGGGAGGACTGGACGCCCACAGGGCAACCAGCGCGCTGTGAAAGAATTCTAGTGAATTTCCAAATTGTGCCTTGTAAATCATAAAACCCATGTAAGATTTCAAAAACAGGAGTGAATGACGATGGGAACAGCTGAAGAATCATTCATGCATCCTGTTAGAGGTTCTGTTTCTCTAGTTGAACCCTGACCAATGCAGCCACCTCACCAGTCTTTGCTGTATTTTGGAAACAGGGGAAATTAGAAGAAATGATACATTATATTACTCTGAGGTCTGAGCTGAAGTGGCTTAAGTTTCCAAGTAGAGAAATGAATGTGCTCTAGCAAATGTTCTGAAAGAGCAACTTCAGATTGGTGGACAGAACAAAGAAAGATTCTTGAAACAAGTCGTAAGTAAACTGTTGTTTCGTCAAGTGAGTTTTTGCTTAGCTTAATAAGGACTATGTGATTATTATAATTTTATCAATTCAATATTGTGTAATTATTCAAATAATGTAAAATGATACCTTTCTTTTCAAGGTGCATCCCTTTGTACAGTATCATTCTACTACTAACATACAAATTGTGAGATCACCTTTGAATATTTAGTTTCAAAGTCTGAGAAAATCATGCAGTTTTGGTACTATAAACACATCACTTATGCTGGAAAAGTCATCACTATTCTTAGGAAAAAAACAACGGGATCCCTTGCTGCCATTATGGTAAGGGTAGAAAGTGGCAATTTAGCAACTTCCTGTATGTGACTGTTATCCGTATGTGCCCTGGTTATGTGTTGGCCCAGGCCACCTGGACAGACGTGTGACTGACTGGGATTTATCCACCATGAGCTGTTCAGGCTGCCACCGATGGCTCTGCCTTCAGTACTCTCCCCTGATGTCCATTTTATACATTTTGTGGATTAATAAGCTTATAGCGCAGATTTACCATTGTGATTTTTTTTGGTTCATCTAAATATTTTTTTTTAAAGTAGCCACCCGTATGTCTACTGATTCTCAGATCTACTGAGGTTCTAAAAAAGCAAATGCTCCCCAGAATGGCGGGAGATAAGGAGGCTCCTTGGAGGAGGGGTACTGCTGTTTTTCTCACTCACAAGGTTTGAGTTTTAAAGAATTTCTGATTTGGAATCCAAAAATCTGAATTTGACGCCTTGCCATTTCAATGTCAATATATTAGTTGTCTGGGCATTTAATAGTATTTTAGGAGTATTTCAATCTTAATTTCCTTATTTACAAAGTCTGGATAAGAGTTATTTTATCTATCAATTAGGGCTACATTGATTATAGTCCTATAAGATAAAATACATGATAATAATTGTTCTTAAAGTGCTATGAAAATACATAGTCATATTGCACAGTGAGGGATTTTTATTCCAATAGTAATAATTATTAGGATTATCATAATTAAAATTAACTGT